CATCTATCTACTAGTTCATATTTTAACATACTTAATTCTTTTAAAATATTACATGCCAGCAATCCAAATTACTTCCCATTTCACATTTTTCTTTCCTTGAGCTAATTCCACAAGTCAATAATGGTTGTCAGGTTTTCTTAAATTTATCTTATTTTTGTTTCCCCTCTATATATTTTAATTTGATTGGTCAACTTTTCCATCAGGACCGTTTGCCAGATTCTGTTCTCAAATTTTTGTACTGAAAGATCTTGAGCATTTCTTCAGTTTTGTGTCATTTCAGCTCTTGCTGCACCAGTAAGATGTGTAATTAGGTCTTTATTAAATAATTTTTCATTTCCATCCTTAAATATTGAAAATAATAATAAAGCATTTAAAAAAATTATTTTTTGATTCAACAATGTTTCTATCCATTTAATTATTTCCCGCCAACACATTTCCACTTTGGGGCAAGAGATCCACATGTGTTCTAGTCTGCCTTTATTTCCACAGTTTCTTATTTTTGAGGAAACACGGTATATCGAAGGTTCCAGAGTGGACTTGAACAGGTTTACCTGAAGACCCAAATCTGCTAGAAGGGACAAGGTGAGCTGGACATTGTATAAGGCTTTCTTGTGGGAGCTGGCAACAAGCAACCAGTCGTTGATGCAGGGGAAACCAATAGCTCTATGGAGATGTAGGTAAGTGACTATAGGTGCCATACATTTTGTGAAGACCCTCAGGGTGGTAGAAAGGCTGAAGGGGAGGGCTTTGTACTAATAGGTGGAGTTGTGGAGGGCAAACCTGAGGCATTTGCGATGGTCTGGATGAATGCTTACAGTGGACCCTCGACTTACAGACTTTTCGAGTTACAGACTTTTTGAGTTACAGACTTCTCTGGCCGCAAAATTTAGGTTCGACTTGCAGCCGGAGACTCGACCTACAGACCAGAAAAAAACAAAAAACAAAATGGAACAAAAATGGAACAAAAATGGCCGGTTACGGCATTAATTGGTTTTCAATGCGTTGTAGGTCAATGGAGACTCGACGTACAGACTTTTCAACCTGCAGCCACCGTTCCAATACGGATTAATTCTGTATGTAGAGGGTCCACTGTATATGGAAATAAGCATCCCTCAAACCTATAGCCCTGAACCAGTCTCCTTGTTGGAGGAGTGGAATGATGTTTTCCAATGTGACCAGGTGTTCAATGTGACCTTGAGACAATATAGAGGTTGAGGTGATGCAGGTCCAGAATGGGTCGGAGTTCATCATCTTTCTTGGAGATAGTGAAGTAGCGGGAGTAGAAGCCTGGACTAGTGTGTGTAGAAATGACAGGACTGATGGCATTCTGAAGACTTCTGTGGCTGTTAGAGAGGAGAATTCAATTGTATACCTGACTTTGATGATGGAGAGGACCCAAGGCTCCATAGTCATGTGGGTCCATGTGGACAGGAATGGTGTGAGATATGTGGTATGCAGGGATGACAGTGTGGTGCAGGCAGATTTGAGGAAACAGAAAGTCAAAGGTTCTGCTTGTTTTTTTCCCCCCTCAGGCTGCCTCTTGAACTGGCATGAGCACTGTCTGTGAAATTGCTAGAAAAGGGAGAAGAATGATGAAGATCGTAGTTGCTGCCCCTGCCTATCTACTGAAGGTGTGTATTGTTGGTAATGTACTGAAGCCACCATTGATTATGGGGTGGGTAATAGTAGTATTGTATGTTGTATGACCTGACTGTTTTTCTCATCTTCTGCAGATTGTCCAAAATGTTGTCTTTTTATTGTTGTTGTTGTTGTTGAAGAGCCTGACACAATCAAATGGTAGGTAGTCAGTATGGGATCTTGAGTCTTCTGACAGGCCAGCAGATCTGAGTCATGCAGGTCTTTGTAATGTGGCCATATGATTGGATGCTGCATCCACCACATGGAATGAATTATTTCTTGTCATGTCAAGGTCACAGCTTAGTACTGAAGAGAGAGGCCTCTAACCCATTGGTCCTCAGGTGCTGGCTGGAGGATTGGAAGGGCTTACTTCCATAGGTGATGGTGATAGGCCCCTATCGCTGCCAGGTAATTGGCCACCTGAAGAGCAAAGGAGGCTAAGGAGTAGACCTGGCATCTGATGGCTATCTTTCAGCCCTCATAGTTATTGGGGGTAGAGCTGGAGCGGATTCCAGGCTCTATTCTCTGTAGCATCTACAATGGTTGAATTAGGAAGTGAATGTTTGGACAAAAAAATGGTGTCATTTCCATGCGTTTTATAGATTCGCCAGTTGCCTGGAGATTTGAGGAACACAGAAGGGCTTGTTTCAGGACTCCTTGATAAGTTTCAGTACAGAAGGAATAAAGCCAAGATGGAGAGGTGAGACCTGGTCCTGGTTAATGTCCTTGTAGACCCTATCAGACTTGGCTGGAGGCGGTTTGTCAACCTTTAGATAGATGACTTTCAGTACGTGGAAGACAAGTTGGAAATAGGATGAAAAGTCCTCAGAAGGCAAGGAAGGATAAGCATCTGCAACGTCAAAATCTGGCATGGAGTCAGAGGCCTCAGTGTCAGGGACTGGGTGAGATAGTCCTGGAGAGGGGTACAGTATAAGTCCTCTGTAGAGGGAAAATGATGTCTGAGGTGGAAGATCAGCATCATCCAGTGGGAGGGAGAGGTGACTATGCTTAGACCTGCCCATCCCGTAGGCTGGGTCAGGAGGAGGTTGTATGGATGAGTGTGATGTGGACTAGCATGGTGGCTGACTCGGAGTGGTGTCGAGAAGAGACGCTGGAGGTCCTTTGTAGGTAGTCTTAACTTATACCAATGAAGACCTGGGATAAAGTGGCAGTGATTTTTGGAACTCAGGCCTGTGTCGGCATGGAGTGGTGTGGTCACTTTGATACTGAACATGGTTGAGGGTTTTCTAAGTTGGAATATAGATGGTGTTTGGTATGATGCCTGCTTGGTCTCAATATTAGGGAAGGGAGCGGTGAGCCCTCTCTGGAGTAGAGTTCCTGAAAGTTATCCACCTGTGTTTGGTATTGGGGTGGTGATAACCTGGGGCTCACATGAGCTGAATGCAAACTGCAGTGTCCTCAGATGAGGTGTTTCTCAATACAGGCAATTGGCTGAATGCAGGGGATAGTGCATGGTCAGATTATGGAAGGGGGAACTCCTCATCTCTTGATAGGGAGTCCAGGTAGACTGTATCTTGCTGCAGCTCCTCCAGGATTGGGGACAATAAAGTGGCCCTGTTGACTGATGGTTGCACTGTTGTTTGCTTTTGTGAACTGATAACTCAAGAGGATTTTTTCATTTTCTTCGACGTCTTAGGCGATTCAGCCATGGTCAGGGTTGATCTTAAAATTCAACTTTGATGTCAATGATGCAAATTTCAGTTTAGAGGCTGACTTAGACTTGGGCTGTGCCAACCTCAATGTAGGTGAAGGCAACACTGGAGAGGCAAGTGGGGTGGTCCATGGGGTTGAGAAATTAAAGCTGATTCCATAGTTCATGACCAGGGAGGCTTGAGAGTGTTCCCGAAGGAAAGATCTGAGGCACTGCTGGTGAAGTTCCAGTGCTGGCTTAGTGAGGTTTTTCCAGGCCTGACATTAAATAGTCTGATGTGCCTCTCCTAAACGGAAGAGGCACTGTGAACTGCTGTCTGAGAGAGGGACCTTGTTGGGGCAAGAAGCGCACCTCTTGAATGGGCCCTAAGAAACCAGAAAATGGCGAGAGGGGAAAGAAGCGATGGAAGGGAAAAATAAAAGTCTCTCTTTCTCTCTCTCTTTTTAAAAAGGATAATTCACTATGGACAAAGAATGGAAAATGAAGAAGCCGAAGGGTGGGAATAATAGTAAATAAAAAGCGATGAACGGAGTTCTGCTCATTGAGAGATGACATGTCAGCAGCGGCAAAAAAGGTACTGTAGCACTTTACAGTATGGACGGAGCATGTGCACTGAGGGAGTGGTCCTGGTGAACGCGCACTAAAGCTCTGGAAGATTCAGAGAACCTCTGTGCAGGTGCAAAAGAATCCTATTGTATGCATTCACAGAGACCATGAAGAGGCTCCTCACTACCCTTTTGCAAGGGCAATAAGCCTGAATCTGTCTCTAAACCTTGGCACTGGAGAGGAACCAGGAATGACCTGTTGTTTGTATTGCACTTCAAAACATATTGAGCTCCTTGGAAGCACAGGGCAATCTCTACTCCAGTTTCTACAGCTAAACCTTAGAATAAGGATGCACCTGTTTTCCAGCTGCATTCCAAGCACCTCAGAAAGAAAGCATTAACAATAGGCCCCAGCCCTCTTATTGCTACATCGAGATGTAAAAGTGGACAGAGACAGTATTCAGAGGGTCTTGGAAGCTCAAGACAACTGCTGGGACTGCCTTCCACCCCCACCCTTGTCTAGCTCTAAACTCTAACAGAAGGCTGCAGCTTATTCAGTTACTGCATTGTGCAACCCTGGGAAGAATCCCCCAATGTCAAAGCTTTGAGATGGATTTTGTCCGTGACCTTTGGCCAAGTGCCTTGGCAGGCAACACAAGGCTGGGTTTAAGACCTCATCTCTTGCACAGCAGTGGGAACCAAGCCGTGACAAACTGTTTGCTTGGCTATCATCATAAGTCAAGTTTTTGTGGCCTCCTAGGCAAAGATCTGACCCAGAAATTCAGTCACAGGAACACAGGAACTTTTCTTATAACCAAACACATCATTAGTTCATCTAACTCTCTACTGCCTGTCCTGATTGTGAGCAGCCCTTTACGATTTCAGGCAGGTGTTTTTCTCAGCTTTACCTGGAACAGTCAGTGACTGGACTTTAGATCTTCCAAAAGAAAACATGCATGCTACCACTCCCACAAAGTCCTTTCTCAAAAATACCACCTCTCATGGCTTTCTAGCACCTGGTCCAATGGGATCTGGACCAGTTCCCACAAGACTAAAGCGCCAAATAACTGTTCAATTACCACTATTGTTTTCACTTTATCCACTGGCTGTTGTGACTCAACCCCTTTATCAATGCCAGGCCTTACCGCATTTGATGCTGGCTCCTTTCCCACAGATCAGCGGTCTCATTAAGAGACATGTGCATATCCAAATTGCACACATTGGGTTTCTGGGTGTATTGCTTTAGACACTGCTTTACCCAGTGACGCTGGCAGCCAGGAAGAAAGGGATCTTGAATAAATATAAAGCCTAGGGGAAAAAATGGAGGTGGGTGAGTAAAAGGGGAGAAAGATACAGTTAAACCTGGCATTATTAATTAAAAACCAAATTGAATAGATAGAGAGAATCAAAAAGCATCTAAAATTATTTGAGGAAATAATAGGATTGAAAGTAAATTGGGATAAGTCAGAATGTATTCTACTAAACCATGATGATGAGACAGTGAAGATGAAGAATATTTTTGAGGAAAAGTTGAAAAATAATATTAAATATTTAAGAATAAATATTGCTTGGAACTTTCAGGATATAATAAAAAGAAACTTGTGTAGGTTGAACAGAGAGATTCCTTCATCATAGCTATCCTTCAGTCTCAAGACACTATGGTAACGTGCTCTGTATGTAGGACTTGGAACAGTGTCTAGTGTTTTGACGCTGTACGAGAAGCTGGAATGTCCTCTCCAGGGCACGAAGCCTGGGTAAAATAATATGGAGAATAGGCTGTTACCCAAGCAGCAAATCCCCCCTCTCCACGTCACTGAAACAGTCCAATGGAAAGGCAAGAGCCAATACAACTGGTTTCAGCGACGTCGCAGGAGTTGACAGAATTACACGAACTGCCTCCAGGACTCCGGCTCCGGATTTTGCTCGAGGTTAACTCCAGAAGCGTTTTCCATCTGTGGATATAGCCACAAGGCAGTGGAGTTTTGAACTCAGAGTTGTTTT